GAGAGCAACCTGCCGATCACTGCTCTGCTGGCTCATGCCCAAGGGGCCAGGGCTAGTTTTGAGCCTGGGAGCATCTAAGGAAAACATTGAATTATAGCTTTCTCTGCTTTTGTTGGCACATTTGCCTCCTTCTGTGGATACCTTCCCTTTCACCCCAATAAAGACCAGGGAAAGAAGATAGGAAGGAGTGGGAGCTAGAGAGAAAATTTAGGTTTAAAGAACTGAGTGTTGTGGTCCTAGCTATCAATCAATGTGGCACTGGGCAAGTCCTCCCATCCGTAGAGCAAAGGAGTTCCCTTCTAACACTGAGATGCCTCCGTTCTAATTCCTATGCCGTTTCTAGGAGGTGAGGAAGGCAGAGATGATTGTACCTGTAGTCCATCCTTAGTTCCCCACTGATAAGCTCTCTCTACCTCAGAACTTGGAAATACCCATGTCCTCCCAGCCTTCTCAGAGTTAACTCTAAAGTCCACATGGAATAAGAGCTGCCCAGGCAGGAGACTACCACGACTGAAGGTATAAACTATATGAAGAATGGATGCATTGATCAGAAGGGAAGTCGTTAATCTTAGAGGCAAAGAAAGGAGACTCTGAGAGGAGAATTCTGGCCGCACCTCTTCTGGCTCTGTCTGGCAGAGGGATCAGAATCTTAGGAGAATGTCTGGCCCTCGTCAGGTATCCCTATTGTGGAGGACTCCTGCAGCCAACTGACAAGGCCTGAGGCCATTGTACTTTTGAGTGTTAAAGTCACTTCTCAGGCTGGGCGTGGTGGCTCACGCCTGTAATCGCAGCACTCTGGGGGCTGAGGCGGGCGGATTGTCGAGGTCAGGAGTTCAAAACCAGCCTGAGCAAGAGCAGGACCCCGTCTCTACTAACAATAGAAAGAAATTAATTGGCCAATAATTATATATAGAAAAAATTAGCTGGGCATGGTGGCGCATGCTGTAGTCCAGCTACTCGGGAGGCTGAGGCAGAAGGATTGCTTGAGCCAGGAGTTTGAGGTTGCTGTGAGCTAGGCTGACGCCATGGCACTCTAGCCTGGGCAACAGAGTGAGACTCTGTCTCAAAAAAAATAAAATAATATAAAAGTCAGTTCTCAGCCCAGGTTGCGGTGTGCGTGCCTGTAGTCCCCAGCTACTTGGGAGACTGAGGCAGGAGCATCGCTTGAGCTTAGGAGTTCAAGACCAGCCTGGGCAATATAGCAAGACCCCGTCTCTTAAATAAATAAATAAACAAACAAACAATATAAAACCCTAACTGTTCTGTTAGGATTCCAGGCTTTCCAGGTCCTTTCTGATCTTTTGCCTTCCCATGCTGCTTGCTTACAGGGGGTAACTAAGCTGGTTAGGCTGCCGTGTCTGTCCAGCGCACTCACCAGTTGGCACCTGGTCTTATGCATGGGCCTCTCTGAGTTTGTGCGTCTCAGTCAGCCTCCCTGAGTGAGATGATGTCTGGCTGGGACTCGGTTTCTGAGCCTCTGAGGATGAGGCTGGGCTCAGAGTCACAGTGCGTTCACCTGATAGACACCTGTCTGTGCGGCAGGCTGATCCTCCTCATTGCTCAGCTTTGTCCAACTTCACAAGTGAGTAAAACCCAGGGTAGCTGCAGGTCTATCAACTTCCTCATTCGCTAGGTCCCTTCATATTATCTTACACTGCATATTAAGAGAATTTCTCTTCTCATTTTGCTACTACCACCAATTCATCTCACATTGTATCTTCATCATCATCATCATCAAAGCTTCTACTTATTGAATTTTCTGTGTGCCCAATAACCCCACAGAGAAGGCAGTATCGTTCCATTTTTGGGGATCGAAAAAGGCTAGTTATGGCCACCAGCTGAGAGAGCTGGGATCTAAATCCGTGTCTATCTCTAATTATTATTATTTTTTAAATTAAACTCTGTGTGTGTGTGTGTGTGTGTGTGTGTGTGGTGGGGGGACTAGGGAGACTTCTCAGGAGAGTGTACACCCTCAGCCTGTTTTCCAGGAGTTTCCTCACTGTGAAAGTAGACAACAGGACCCCTACTTACTGAAGTAAAAATATAAGAATCTGCCATGATCAGCGATGGCAGCCTGGCAGTGAGTCTGGTTGGAGAATTCTAGGTAGGCCTTGAGGCCTCCCAGAGGATTCTGGCAGCCAGCTTTGACCTGATACAGGAAAAAAGTAACCTAGATGTTAAGCGAAGCAAGAGATATAGAATGTAGAAGCATGAGTGGGCACATGATGGACTATTCTGTCCTCCCCAGCATGGGAGCTGTCAGGGAGAAAGATTGGGGCTGTGCTCTTGGCTTTGGAGTGGGTCCCCTCCAAGAGCACCCCAGGCCATGGGGACATCTCCCCTGACTTCCTGAACCAGTATTTTTTTTTTTTTGAGACAGAGTCTCACTTTGTTGCCCAGGCTAGAGTGAGTGCCATGGCATCAGCCTAGCTCACAGCAACCTCAGACTCCTGGGCTCAAGCGATCCTCCTGCCTCAGCCTCCCGAGTAGCTGGGACTACAGGCATGCACCACCATGCCCAGCTAATTTTTTGTATATATATTTTTAGTTGGTCAATTAATTTCTTTCTATTTTTAGTAGAGACAGGGTCTCACTCAGGCTGATTTCGAACTCTGGACCTTGAGCGATCTGCCCGCCTCGGCCTCCCAGAGTGCTAGGAATACAGGCGTGAGCCACTGTCCCTGGCCTCTGAACCAGTATTGATGGGCAGATTGGTTTTTAGCCTGCCAATCAGAAGGCTATAGTTAGTATTCTGTCCTTGGCACCTGGGGTGGGTAAGTGAACCTCTGAATGCTTTAGTGACTCTTCCCATGGATTTCTAACTCCTAAAAACCAAATACTTTATTTCTGAATAATTTGTGAAGTAGGCAACAACTTAGGTAATATGCTTGAAAGTATGCATGTGACAGTCTGTAACAGAGTCAAGGACAGATAAACGTGTAGTTGACTGCAACTTGGAGATCCCCTAAAGCAATATTTTCTACACGTTTTTTCAACATTCCTTTCTCTTAACAGTTTACTAGAGAAAAAAATATTTATGTTCAAAATAAGGAATTTATACCATACAAATATAACTGAATATGACATAATATTTAAACGTATTTGGACTTTTCATTTAACTTTTTTTTCAAATAAAAGTAGTATCATTTAACTTCTTAAAAAAAGTCACCACTAGCTAGCTAGTCATCCATCCTTAATATAAATATAGCCTAAAGTCTTTCAAATTATGTTCAAAAATTATTTTTGGTTGGCCAATGTTTCCTCGCTTTTCTGCAATTTGTTTCCTTGGTTTTGTTTGTTTTTGGTTTTTTTTGTTTTTTTTAGGGACAGGATCTTGCTATGTTGCCCATGCTGTACTTGAACTCCTGGGCTCAAGCGATCCTCCTACTTTAGCCTCCTGAGTAGCTGGGACTGCAGATGTGAGCCACCACGCCTGGCTCTAGAGTTGGGTTTGTTGTTGTTGCTGTTTTTTAATCTTCAAGCCAGACATTTTCTTGGGAGCCATATTAAAAGATTTCATATTTAGATAATGTGAACAGTACAGTATGGTAAACAGCACTATAGCTTGCATCATTCAGCTAAATTTCAGCTGAAGAAGACAACTAACTTCGGGAGACCGTCAGCTGGCTGACCTACAACATAGTACTGCTGTAATTATGTTGTAAAAATATCATCAGAGATAGGCTGGCGCCTGGGAGGCGTGACTTTAAATGTCCATTGGAAAATATTGTCTATTTCAGTAAACAACATTTTGCAGTAGGCAAGGTGTCTCATGAGCAAAACTGAGGTAACAGGCACCATATTTTTGATCGTTTTAGCAATGTTTTGTGTTCTGTATAGAGCAACACCCTGGTCAGCAGTTTCATCTGGCCCTGGCATGGAAGGCAGGCACTGGGCTGAGAGACCTGGGTGGAAAGTGTGATGTTAGACAAGGCATTTTATTTATTTATTAATTTATTTTATATTTATTTATTTTTATTTTTTGAGACAGAGTCTCATTTTGTTGCCCAGGCTACAGTGAGTGCCGTGGCGTCAGCCTAGCTCACAGCAACGTCAGCCTGGGCTCAAGCGATCCTCCTGCCTCAGCCTCCCGAGTAGCTGGGACTACAGGCATGCGCCACCATGCCCAGCTAATTTCTCTCTCTCTCTCTCTCTCTATATATATATATATATATATGATATATATATATATATATATTAGTTGGCCAATTAATTTCTTTCTATTTTTTGTAGAGACGGGGTCTCACTCTTGCTCAGGCTGGTCTCGAACTCCTGTCCTCAAACGATCCTCCCACCTTGGCCTCACAAAATGCTAGGATTACAGGTGTGAGCTGCCGCGCCCAGCCTGGATGTGTTGTAGGGCAGAGGAATTTGTAGGACAGAGGAAGGGCAGAGGAATTCTTCTACTTGTCGGGAATTCACTTGGGTGGGGCAATGAGCTAACGGCAAACCTTTGCTTCTGGTCATTGCTTGCTTGCTACACCGCTGTAATGGGAATTATGGGATGAGGTCATTGAAGCACGGGCAACTGGACCATCAGGCAATAGAGGGCAACCAACCCACCAATTATTTCAAAAGGCAATAGTGGGCAACCAATCATTTTAAAGGTCAACGCATGATCCATGCATAGTCGGCTTGTGCGCAGCTTGTGCACCATGGGGATAAAAGGCATGCCGTTGTTCCAGTCGGGGTCCTTGCCTGTGAGAGTGGCCACTGTGTTGGTGCTCTGGGGCTTGGACCCTGGCTAGCCAGAAAATAAACCTCCTCTTGTGTGATTGCATCCTCGATGTCTCTGCTTTTCTGTCCGGTGGGGCTGTGGAAGGTCGGTCCCTAACAGTGTGTTTTCTATTATACAATATCGGTTTGTAAGAGATGTTTCATTTCTTGTCACACTTAGACCCCTTTCTGCTTCTGAGTGAGGAGAGGGTGGGACTCCAGAGGGGCCCAAGAAAAAATCTGAAGCTGCTTTTTGATGAGACACACAAGAACCACCAACCATCTAAATAAACGTCCTCTTTATTTTACCAAATATAATTTATCAGTTAAGTTGACATTTGTCAATTCAGTTATAGTAACTATAAATAATTCTCTTAAGACACAGTTCTGTAACTTTTTAAGGATACAAGAGTAAACCAATATTGCTCCTTACAGCCGGGCCGAAAGTACGCGCAGTTGGTGCAATCAGGAGAAAAGAAATCTTCCATGAAAGTCAACTTCTCTGTCTTTCCCTCTTACCCCAGTCCTCCTCTGCTCACACACTCAGGGCCTGGGGCATGCCTATCTTCCAGATTTCTAGGCAGACACTCCAGAGTCTTCCAGGACCGCCTGGCTGAACTCTCGAGATGAGGAAGGAGTGAAAGACTGGGACAAGGGTGGCTGGAGGTCACAGGGGCACAGCCTCGGGGCAGAGGAGTTGGTTTGGTGCCTGTACAAGGAGAGTCTGTGTGCGAGCATGTTTTGAGGTGGAGAAGAAGATGAAGAGGAAAGAAGTCTGGAGGGAAGAGCAAAAACAAGCCCAGGCTGGTGTTAATGAGCTCTGTTGGACACAACTCCAACTAGATAACCTCTACAATTCCTTCCAATCCTAAGGTTCTATGATTCCAGAAGGTGGTCTGGGTAGACATGAAGGGAGAGGAAAGAGTCTCTCTGGAGGTCTACAGCAAGTTCCTGGGATAAGGCGTGGCGTTGGCAGAAACAGGGTCATTGCCTAAGCCTTCCCTTGGAGGAGGCTATAGAGGGCAGGGCTTATGGAGAGGCTAGAGAAAGCCTACACCCAAATGCCTAGATTTGTACGCGTGTGAGCGTGGACAGATCTCTGAGCTGTTTGGAGCAATGTGTGGGGAAGAGGCAGAGGCTCCAGTTTTCTCCCAATTTTGTGCTAGGCAGAGAAAAGTAGAAGCAATCAGTTGGATGTCAGCTTGCTAGTTCTAAATCCTCTTTTGGGTGCCTGGAGAGGAGTGGAGGGAAGGGAAGGTGAGGAAGGGCAGTTTAGGGAAACGAACACTGGCTGGGCGATGGGGCTGGCGGCTCTAGCCGTGGTCAGCACTGCAGAGTTGGGATCTAGGCAGAAGAAACAGGCGGAACCCGGGTTGGTGAAGTAGATGAGAATACTTACAAGGAGGAAACTGTCTGCCTTTGTAACCTGGGGAATGAGGGGCGGTTAGAGCTGTGTTCCCCTCACCACTGGCTAGTCAGTGCCTGGCACAGTACCTAACACACAGTAGGCACTCAATAAATATTGTTCAATGAATGTTTCAGATCATGCCGCAGAAGAGCTCATCTTGGGGAAGCTGCGTATTTGTTGAATGAGTGAATGAATGAATGAATGATGACTGTTTGTGGGTAAAAGCCAAGAGAGAGGAAAACTGACCTTCATGGCATGATAGGACGACTGATTTTAGGAAGGGTCAGAGTCCAAGGTGACCACATGATTATGTCCTCAGGAGAAACAGCAGCAATGAAACACCCCTGGTTGCCCTCAACCTCCAAATCATTCCCCAGATACCCATGATGCCCCTAATCCCAGAACCCAACCTGGTGAGCTCTGGGGAAGGTAGTGCTTAGACACAATTAGAGATGAAGGTTGGACAGAGACAAAGAATCAGTCCTTTGGGCCCAGGAAGAATGTGGGTTTTGGGAAACCTATGAGTGGACATGGGTCAGCAGGGAGATGAGGCCACCGTTCATTTCTTCCTGGATGTGATAACCAATTGAAAAAGATCAGAGGGAGGGACTGGTGATATTGATCAGGCAATCGGGTAAGAGACATGGGCACAAAATGAATGGTCAGTCCACCTTAGTCATTCTGAGAGCAGAAAGGCCTAGGTCCAGAAGGCAGAGTAGGACTGGGATTATTGAGGGGTGGGAGCAGCTGTCTCCTGCCCAGGGCTTTGAAATTGGTCCATGTCTACAAAAGTATGTGTGTGTTTGGGAGTGTTACTTATTCCTCTGTTCAACCAAGAAAAAGAAAAGAACCAAAAACCAAAACCCACTCACAAAGGGTTTCTCATTAGGACCAAGACTGAGGTTGCTAAAGCCAAACCAAATGTCCCCAGACCCTAGACAAAAGCCCCCTGCCCCCAATCCACCTCACCTGGAGGCACCCACCATGAAATTGCACTTGGTGATTGTCTCAAAAATCTACTTGTACTGCTCATCTCAGTCCACCTGTCCTTCCTGAATTCTTGCTATATAAACTTGGCTCAATGTATAAAAATTCCCATTGAAAATAATGAGAACTTGGTATCAAAGTGAAGTCCTAGAAAGAGGTGGGAGTATGGGGTGGGATAGGGACAAGGGAACAAAAGAAAAATTTCAAATAGAAAGTGCGGAGGGATGGGGAGAAGGTAGAGTGACCAAGCTAGTCCCCGACATCCGTGTCTCGGTCCCCGATGAGCCAGAGGATATGGAAGCTGAGTGCTAGGAGCCCAGTGCCAAGCAGGTCCCCCAGCGCAGTCAAGTATGGGATGGAGAAGTTGTCTGGGTCCAGGCCCCGGCCCCACATCCAGTGCACCATCCAGTCTGCGATGTAGAGGAGAATCAGCACCTGCAGAGACAGAAGGGCCCAGCCTGCAGCCGTCGCCTCTCTCCAGGGGGAGCCAGAGGCCACATGATCAGACCTACTACAGTTCTGTGCAGCACAAGGCTTGGCTGGCCACATTATCTTTTATCTTCATCTTTCCACCCCACAATTACCAACTTGAGCAGACAAAAGGCAGAAGGGCTCTTTCAGGGGAAGATGCTATTGCTACCTGGAGTCACCCACATCAGCATTATGTTCTGCTCCCAAATCTACCAAGCAAGGGTCTTCCTAATTTAAATCCTACTTGTTGCAGGAATTCAGCCCTCTTGACTCTAACTCTGGGTCCCTTCTTTCTTGAGTCACTCCAATTCCTGCCCTGTTGGCCTCTCCCAGAGCCTGCTGCTGCAGTCACCTTTCCCTAAAGGGACTTCTTCTCTAGGCAGAGTGGGGTAAGGATCGTGTTTGAAGCTGCTGCTGGCACAGCTGTCTGAGTAATAGCTGATTATCCCAAGCTGCCTTTCTCCTCTCTCTCCATTCTGCTGCGGTGGGTTCAAAGAATGTAAGTTTATTTTAACCTGAGTCCTAATAAAATAGAATTGTGAATAAGTCAGCTAACAATGCATACAGATTTGAAATGCAATTTAGATTACCTGCTGCTCTGATTTATCTGTGCTCTTGCTTCCCTTCTATTACTACAGATAATTAAGAATGATCTGGATCAGAATCTTGCTAGTGGGCCCAGGACCAGTAGCATCAACAACAGTGGGAAGCTTGTTAGAAATGCAGAATCTCAGGCCCACTCTTGGCCTGAAATCAGAATCTGCATTTTAACAAGATTCACAAGCACTTTTAAGCTGGAGATGCACTTGATCTAGAACACTATGGTACAACAGGCCTGCATCTTCTATAATCTGCACAATGCCTGACGCTTGGGCTCCCTAAATGACTGCATTTACGTGAGAATGAAACGGTGTCCAATGGTTAAGCTCCAGCATAGTCACTGGGAGGTTTTACTCTTGACTGTACTTTGCAAATACTGTGGTATCAAAGTTTTGCCCTAAGGGGCCCAGATGCAGGAACCAGAGCCCTTAATGGATCCAGAAGCCAGAACTGACACCCATTTTAAGGCAAACTTGGTTGCTCTTCTGTCCTCTCTCCAAGGAAGCCAGAGGCTACAGTTCTAGCACCTTTCATATTCTCCCTTGCCCTGCACACAGCTGCCCTGGTACTCCCACGGCCTTGGCCCTCCGTGAGGCCACCCCCTGCATAACTTCACACCCTTTCCAGCAGCTGCGGAAGAAACCCAAACAGAGTGTGGGCAGGAGGCCTTTGGGACATGCACTAGGAAGGGAACAGCAGCAGCTGTCCTCACATTCCAGCCACTTGAGCTGGTCCCAGGACACATGGCTAGGAGGAGGTGGCAAAGGGATCAGGAAGAACCTTTAGAGGGCATCACGTGCCACACTGTGACCCTCTGCTGATCTGGAGAAGAAAACAGAAGTGAGTGTGCCCCCCAGGGTACTCACAGTAGGTAATGGAGCCAAGGTTATCCTTCCCAACCCAGGCCAAAGGACGAGTTGAAAACCTCCACCATAGCCCTTCGGCCTGCCCACCCCCTCCCCTTTCCCGCCACGTGCTGCACTTGAGCCCACTCGGAAGGGAACACGGGGACTTGGCTAATTGCTGCAGGGCAACAGCATATGGTTGATTCTCAGCCCAGCCCTTGCCAAGATGTCCTGACACAACCTCTCTAAAGCTGGGGGTGGGGGGCCTGGGGTGATTAAGTGTTCACCAATACGAGACTGGCTAAATGAAATGATGGAACACCTATAAGAGAATAGAATGCAGTCATAAAAAATCAGGGTGCTCTTCTTGTTATGTATTAATATGGAATGACCTCTAAGATGAATTGTTAAGTGAGAAAAGCAGGGTGCAGATACTGTGTACAGTGTACTACATGTGTGTAACAAAGGGAGGAAATAAGAAAACTATCTGTCTGCTTGTGTAAGTTCAGAGTAAGCTTGAAGGGTACGCAGGAATGGGTGACACTGATGGCCTGTGAAGGAGGACACTGGATGGCCGGGAAGAAGATGGCAGAGAAGGCAACTTTTCACTGAGGTTGTGCTATCAATATGATCCTTAAAATATTTTTGAACTATGTGACTGTTATCTATTCAAAAAACAAATGTATATAAATTTAAAATGTAATAATAAGGGTGGGTGTGGCCATAGAGCAATAGCATATGGGAGCTTTGTGGTAATAAAATAGTTTTCTGTATTTTGATTACAGCAGTGGTCACACCAATCTACCTACACTTGTGATAACACTGCATATAACCACACCCACACCCACACGCACACACACAAGTGCATGTAAAGCTGGTACAATCTGAATAAGTACTGTGAATTGTACCAATGCTAATTTCCTGGTTTTGATATTCTACTACAGTTATGTAAGATGCTACCACTGGGGAAAATTAGGTGAAGAGTATATGGGACCCCTGCACAATTTTTTTTGAACTTCTTGTGAATCTGTAAGTATTTCAAAATAAAAAGTTTAAAAAATGTAATCATACAAGAAGGGAGAAAGTATCACAGTGTCACAGAATGGCAAGGCTGGATGGGATCCTACAGAGAGATTATCCAGTACAGTGGTTTAGATACTTTTTTGAGCTGCGGACCCCTCTATTTAAGAGGAAGCCCAGCATGCAAAACAGAGCCAAATGGAGCTCTGTGGGGGTGGCCAGTGGGGGTGGCACCCAAGGCCCACCTGCTCAGCATCCTACAACCACCTGCCTGCACACCACCACTTCTGGTTCATTCCTCTCAATTTATAAATATCACCAAGGCTCAGAGAAGTACAATAACTGGGTCAAAGTCACACAGCATGTTAGTAACTGCTGGGACCACAGTCTGTTCTCCTGAGCTCCTGTCCGGTGTTTATCAGCAGCCCTGACATACAGAAAGAGGTGACAGAGCATCCGATGCCTGGGCCTCCCCACCCATCCCTGTAGTGCAACCCAGCTCCTCCCCACACCCCTGCTCCTCCCAGTCCGTACCTGGAGCAGTGCAGCTGTCATGTAGAAGATGATGAAGATGAGTGTGAGCGTGGTGTGCCCGCCCTGCATACAGCTGATGGTGTAGAGGAACACCAGGTGTCCTGGGACCACGAGGAGGAAGAGGACCCGGGCAGAGCGAGAATTCACATCTGGGACCAGGGAAGAGAGGGCGTGAGAGGAGAGGAGGAGCCCTGGGCCCTGAAGGCCTTTCAAAGTGAGGAGGGGACTACACCACACCCAGAGGCAGCAGGCACCTGTTTCTACCTCTCCAGCCCGTGGTCTCTAGCCCCAGGGGGTCCCAGGCAAAGATACCCTTCCTGCCTCCTGAACACCTGGCACAGCCCCATAGAGCAGGAGAGCTGTGCATCTGGGCCCTAGCTGTTTCTTAAGTGAGGTTCATTGATTGGAGGCCCCTCCCTCCAGGGCTGGACTGGGCCTGGGAGGCTGAGCATTACCAGGGCTGAAGAAGGTGGTACAAGGACTGGGGCAGCGGCGAGGAGCTTGCTCAGAGTTCTCCCCCGGCATCCCATTCATGTGCAGGAAGGTGGAGATGCGGCTGGCCTGCACTGCCACCAGATTGCCCCCAACACCTGCAGAGACATACAAGGGCTCAGACAGAGGGGAGCAGAGGGAAGGGAAGATCTCGTTCTTTGTCTTTTTATCTTAGAGGCACTGTCCTCTGTCTTCATTTAGGGTCTGTGTGGGCATCACCCATTCACCAGTCCACAAGAGAAGAAGGAAGAGAAAGACACCCCCACCTCCAGGGGAGTCTTCCAGGCTCCTCTGTCCTCCCTTCTATGGAGATGTGGCAGTCCCATGTGCCCCTGGCACGGCTGTGAGAGTGCTGGAAAGGACATAGGCAGATCTGCAGACTCAGAAAGCCTGACTTTTCAACCAGCACAGTGTGTGCACCTGCCTTCCTACACAGCCGAGGGGACAGAGCCCTGCCTTGCCTCACCCCTCTCCCGTGCTCCGGGTAGACCCAAGCACCCCAGCTCACGTGCTGGTTCCAGTAACAGTTTCAAGTGTCAGGTTTGAGCTCCAAATTCTGGAATCCAGTATCTGTCCCAGAAACTATGCTGATTACTCTGTCTGCCCTCACACCCAGTCTGGTCTCTGCTCTTCTAAGCCTTGCTCTGAGCCCTAGGGGACTGACTTCTACAGACTGCCTCACCCAGCCTCCCTTGCTGTCTGCTCCCACTTGGGTTTGTTCCATGGGAGCCACCAGCAGGCAATCAGAGGGTATCGGGGGGAGAGAGATCAGGTATTTCTTTCCTGGTGTCTCTCTGCTGTTGGCAGTGGCTGACCATGTTTGGATGCAGCATGAGGGCTCGCCAGATGCAACCACCTGATCTTGAACTTCCTAGCCTTTAGAATCGTGAGTTAAATAAACCTCTTTTCTTTATAAATTACCTAGTTCCAAGTATGCTGTTATAGCAACAAATAATGGACTAAGACACTCCCCTGGACCCTTCAGGACTAAAGGCTTCCTGCTGTTGCTAATCTCTGGGTACCTCAACATCCCTTATTCATCCTTTTACCTTGCTCCCACCTCCATAAACAGTCCCTTCACTAAAGGGACTGCTTGAACTATCTGAGCTGGATTCTCTGGCCTGCCTGGACCCTGACTGATACAGAAACCAACCCCCTAAGTCTTCTCCTTTCCCCCTCTGGCAAGCTGATGCCAAGACCTCACCGTTAATCACAGGTGTGAAGACAGCCATCCCTGCAAAGTTGGGATCTGAGACAGTCTTGTCCAAGATGAGGCCTCCCACACTACAGAGACACAAAGACAAAATGACATAAAGACCAATGAAGGGTTCTGCTCTGGTCTCTGCGATGAGGGGTGTAGTCAGCCAGCCTTGGGAAGGGAAGGCAGCATGGTGGCTCCCAGGGGTTCCTTATCTTCCAGTCCTCGCCTCCCTTGGCAGAGCCAGGTGCTGCTCATAACATTCTGACTTGGCACAGTGTCCCCAGGACAAGCTGGTGGTGCTGGGTCAGGCAGCTGCCTCCTATAGCCACCCTCCAAGTTGGCTAGAGGAGCTTCCCACTGGGCGACCTGCATGGGAGGCCCTCTACTGTGCTGCCTGCTCCGCATTTACTTCCCTTTCTGGTGACAGCACTGGACTCCTCCTCTCCAGGGAGCCACCTCTCTCAAGTTCAGTCATTGTGGCTTGGGTGACATTGCTTCAATGATGGCTGGGCTCCAGGCCCATCCAATCAAAGTATCCCATCCTCAAGGCCATAGTGATTGATTCCGGGATAATTATGTGACCAGATGAGAACCAATGAAGCTATTCAGTGAAACCAGGTCATCATAGAGAAAAGCAGAGGTGAGAGAGGGACAGTACTGGGCCCCTGACATTATGTATGTCCCTGAATCCATCTGTTCCTTTTTGGTTTTCTAGCCCAATACATTCTGCTTTGGAATGAAACCCAATTCGGATGGGTTCTGTCACTTGCAACAGAAGGGAATGTAGCTAATACACTATTGAACACATTTCTGGGGTCTGACCCACAACCACTCTCTCTAGGGCTTAAAAGGGAGTCTGTGACAGGGTGGGGGTGGGGTGGGGTAGGTACTCAGGACCTGAGCCTACCTGCTGATGGCCATGGCAATGATCACAGGCTCCCAGCCCGAGTACAACACCTCCCTTGTGGCTGGGCTCCGTCGGGCCAGCACCACCCAGACAGGCAGCAGGGCCACAAAGAAGGCACACACCAGGGGGTAGATGTATCTCCAGTGATCTGAGAGGGCAGAGAGCAGAAGGAGATGAGCACTGTGGCTCCCCGCTTCCAGCTTCCTCCTGGCTCAGCCTGCAAATGTCCTGACAGATCAAGAGCAATACTATACTAAATGCTATTAAACATAGTACCTCATTTGATCTTCACTGTAAGTCCAGGAGGTAGGTGTGGCCAGCCTTTTGCATTTTAAAGAAGAGGAAACCAAGGTAGAGAGCTACCCAGGTACTGAATTTATCACAGGCAGGGACCAGACTCTAGGTATCTTGATGTGATCCCAAAAATCACTATCTCCCATCCCTTCCTTCATCTTGTAAGCAGATTCCAGCCTTCAGTTCCTTTCCTTTACCCTCCCCACCTCACCCCTCTGAGGGAAGCAAGAATCCACAGGACTAAACAAGAACATATTTCCAATACTTGCCCCCTGTCCCTGCCACCTGTATGAGTTTGAGGTCAGAACTTAGCCTCACCTAAGATCAGGAATTATTACAACCTGTGTTCAAACCAAATAGCTAAGAACACAGAAGAAGAAATCCTGGCACATTTGCAAAACTACTACTATCTCTCTCCATCCCACCCAGGAGTCAACCCAAGCCACACTGGTGGTGGCTTACTCAGTTCCAGGTAGAGTCCCCAGCTGATGCCCGACAGCAGCGCCAAGGTGATGAGGTCGCCCAGGCTGGCAGCGATGGGTGTGGCCACGTTGTCTGGGTTGATCCCAATCTTGCGAGAGCCAATGATGACTCCGATCATGATCATACCTGGTGAGGAAGGGAGGAGGAACCAGGAGGGTGAGAAGAGATAAGGGATGTGTCTGGGCACAGTCAACACCTCTGGGGCAGCCCTCCTTCCTCCTCTGTGCCCCTCCCTTCCTTACCCAGTACCAGGGAGGCAATGAAGGCTGTGGCCACGCTGCTAGCACAGAGCAGGAAGGCATGCGGGATACTGAAGTGGCCATCAGGGATCCAGCCAAAGACGACGGCTGCGATGGACGCCAGGAAGCCCACCACCGTGGCCTGCACCTGAGGAGAGGAACGGTAACTTGCAGAACCCAGGAGCAGCGAGCTTCTTAGCTGAGGTCACCGAGAACTTGGGCAGACCTCTTCCTGGCCCTCAGCAGCCCCAGGAGGCAGGCTGGACTGGACTGTCCAGTCCTCCCAGGCTCAAAGGATGTCTTTATTTATTTAGCTTCACACCAGACACTAGTACTGGGCAGTGCACCCTGCAGGAGCCCGGGACACGTTACTAGCTGAATGAGCGTTCCTCTGGGGACGGGAGGGAGGTTCAACAGATCCGGCGACTCAGTCCAGAGTCAAGGCCTGGGGCTCAAGAGGGAAGACTCCCTGTCTGGAACATGAGTGGCCTCATGGGCAGGTGGGACAGCAGTGACATAGGACATTTCAGCACTCCTGAGTCTGCTTGTAGTACCGGGATCTGTGGGGACTCGAAGGCCCTTGTGCCACCAGGAACTGAGAACTGATATGGGTGATGCTGAGCCCTTCCCCGTCTTGGCTGTTTTCCTGGGTGACCTGGTTACGTCCTAGAGCTACCTTGGGAGAGTCCGACTCAGCAGACTGCTGGGGATTCCCTCAGGAGCCAGCTGGGGCTGACCTAAGCCTTTCAGAGACTCCTGACTAAGGGGGTGCTTAGCCCACCCTCTTGGGTACCTGCCTTCTTACCTGGATGAGGGCCATGTTCCCAGTGATCATTCGCCAGAGCTCCTTGGGTGTGTCCATGTGTCCGATGTTGGCCTGGGAAAGGGAGGGCAAGGGGCTGGAGCTCCAGGCTAGAAAAGGCCCATAGCTCCCTCCGTTAGGCCCCTGCCTGGATCAGAAAGCAGTACCCATGGCCCAAGACTCTGGGGCCAGGACATGAAAATCCTGAAGCAGTGAAGTACGAAGCCCAGGGGTGCTGGGCTGAGAGGGAAGGAGCTAAAGCTGAGCTCCTGCAGCTGGGTGGGGGTGCGAGGGGGCTCTCAAGGCAGCCCCGTCCTCTCTCCTCCTCTCGGGACGCCTGCTGAGCAGAGGCAGGTTCCATCCTCTGCCCTGCTCATCCGGGCAGCCCGTGCCCGCATGGGTCGGAATGACTCAATGCCTAACTCTGAAGCCAGCCCGCTATCCCAGGGAAGGAAAGGTCAGCTGCTGGCACACAGACAATGTTGTAAGAGTGTTTGGGAAGGAGTGGGTGGCATGGGCCAGGAGTAGTGTGGGCCAAGTTGGGGTGGCTGCTACTTCTCTCCGCTGCCTTCTCCAGACTCTTGGCTATGCAGGGGCATCCCCGGCCTCCCGAGTTTTACTGCCTTCCATCCCAGGGTGCTGTATCTGGTTCAGTCCCTGACTCATCATGGCTGCTCTAACGGGTGGTGGGAGTTGGGAGTGACGAGCAGCCCCTCCCTGTCTACTACCTTAAAGAAGAACAAGCTGCCACGGGGAAAGGGAATGGGACGGAGGGGGCTGGGAGGGCCTGGCTCGGCTCCTGCCCAGCTGCAGAGTAGGGCTGGAGATCAGAGGAGGCCCCCATCTGTGCGGGTGGAGGAAGCAGCATGATGCCTGCCTGTCAAAGCTGCACAAACAGTCACGAGGCGGACTGTGAAGCAGGGGGTGGGGCAGGAGTCCAGGGACGGCTGGGACATCCAGAAACCAAGCCTGGGAACCACTTTGGGCAGGGAGCCCCTGCCCAGGGGCAGGACACCCAGCCGGGGATCTCCCTACACCTGCCCAGCCAGGCCCCCCCTTCCCACCCCAGCCCTCGCTCCAGGCCTGGGCAGTGGAGAAGGGCCAGTCTCTGGCTCTGGGCCACCCAGCGTCCTCCCTGTGCCCCGTCCTCCTAGCCAGGACACTCACTGCGGTAGAGAGCCTCGATGCCAGGGTCATTTCCAGGTTCCCCTTGAGCCCCAGCAGCGCAGGCACCAGGATAAAGACCTCTGTCACCTTCTGGAAGACTTCCCAGTGCTACAAGGTGAAAACAGAACCCAGGAATTTCAGTGCCCCAAAGGGCTGGCATAGAGCTTCAAGAGAGAGTCTGGGATCAGGGGCTTGAAGAGGAAATGGAGTCAGCGGGGAGCGAGCACACCAGCCACCTCTCCTCCAAGAACCCTGGAACCAAACCAAGCCCACGGTTCTCCAAACAATGCAGCCCCCCTTCCTGCCACCTGGAACAGGAGAGACAGAGAGGGTCTCTGCCAGCCAGGAGACCCTTAGCCTGGCTCTACTTCCTCTGCCTGCTTTCCTAGAGCTGGTGGGGAGGGCGGGGGGAACCCACACAGCTGAGCTGGCCCAGGCTGCCTTACACCCCAGAACTCCTCTGCAATCCCCCCTCAAATCATAATCCCCGGCCCCTTTGCCTTTAGTCCAGTTGCTCCGTGGCCTCAGCCTTAGGTGGTGTTGTCTCAGCTGTGGAGCGCTGAGCTCCGTGGGGCTGGGCTGGGCTGAGATTAGAGGGTTTGTTTGGTTTCCATCTCCAAGGGCCTTGGGCTGCAGCAATTCTCCTCAATAGGATCGGAAGTGAGACTTGTGGCCCCCAAACCTCAGAATGCTGGCTTCCCTCTGCACTACCTCACCCCACGCACCTTCCCCCAGTCTCTCAGCTAGCAGAAGCAAGTGGAACCCCATAGGAAGAGACCCGGCTGGGGAGCCAGGAGACATGGGTTCCAGCCTCCAGACAGTCAGCCCTGGCTGTCCGACCAGTTCCTCGGTCACCATCTGTTAAGCACTAACTATGTGCTAGGCTAAGTGCTCTACATGGATTTCCTCATTTACCCAACTCAACAACCCAGTGAGATGGGAGCTATTTTTATTCGCATTTTGTAAATGAGGAAACTCAGGTTCAGAGAGTATCATGCTAGTGAGTGCTAAGAGTTTGAAAACATGTAGGAGCTGGGATTGGCCATTTGAAAAGTCCTTTGGTTGCAACTGAAACTGAGGATCTGCAAAAAAAAAAAAAAAAGGCTGGGATTTCTGTCTCTCTCCCTGGCCTGACGGGCAACGCAGTTTCCTTTATTTGTTTTAAGAACGAAAAGCTTCCAGGTTGGTCTGAGTGCAATGGTGTTTACAACTAATTGATCACAACCAGTTACAGATTCCTTTGTTCCTTCTCTACTCCCACTGCTTCACTTGACCAGCCTTAAAAAAAAAACAAAAAAAACAAGCCTCTAGGTTGGGAGAGGCAGGAGGGGCGGGTGGGCAGGCAGATGGGTGCAGGTTGTTCTGGGTATTGTGGTTGGGAGGCAGAGTCTGTGATGGGCACTGGCACTGCACCGAAAGCCTTGTGTCTCCTACAAGAGACCATAGGGAGGGGCTCATGCCATCTCCCCAACACGCCTCCTGGCACAGACCAGCTGGAGACCTTAGACAAGTTACAAGGGTCTCAAGCTCCTGACTGTAAAACGTTCAACTCAGAGGCCGGATCAAATGGTTTCTAAAGGTGATTCCAGCACTGACACCCTATTGTTAAAGATGAGCAAGGTTGCAAAGCAAAACCACAGTAAGGTATTACCTCCCACCCATTAGGATGGTTATTATAAAAAAAAAAAACACAAAAAAACTCAAAAAATAATAAGTGTTGGCAAGGACGTGGTGATTGAAAGCCTTGTGCACCACTGGTGGGATTGTAAAATGGTGCAACTGCTATGAAAAATAGTATGGCACCTCCTCAAAAAATTACAAATAGTACTACCACGTGATCCTGCAATCCCACTTCTGGATTTTGATCCAAAAGAATGGAAAGCAGGGTCTTGAAGATATATTTGCATGCCATGTATAGTGCTACATAATACATGTCTATTGGATGAATGAATAAACAAAACCTGGCAAATACACGCAATGGAATACTACCCAGCTTTAAAAAGGAAGGAAATCCTGTCACATGTTCACACAGATGAACACGTCCTTGAGGACATTATACTGACTAATCCAGTCATCAAGACAAACACTATGTGATTCCACTCACATTAGGTATCGGAAGCGGTCAAATTCGTAAAGATAGAAAGTAGAATGGTGGGTACGAGAAGCTGGGGGAGGGGAAAGGGGAGGTCGAGTATAATGGCATACAGTTTCAGCTAGGGGAGACGATAAGTTCCAGAGATCTGTTGCACAACAACGTGAATATACTTAGCACTACTGAACGGCACACTTACAAACAATTAAGGCAGTACATTTCATGTTGTATTTTTCCCACAATGAAAAAAAGATGAGCATGGCTGGCAGAGGGGGCTGGCACCAGAGGAGGCTGGACACTGAGCACAGTAAGTCAAGAAAGACCTCTCTTTCCTTGTCAGAGTTCTCTTTGTGGGCCCGGGTAGGGGCTTCTTTCACGGGACCAGACCACACACTGGTCTGAGCTCCTGGCCTGGCCAGGACCTAAGTCTCTCTTTCGGGGAGCCCCTCTGCGAGGACTAATGGAGGGGAGGAGACACATCCCCATCTCAGCCACAGTTGTTGAGCTTTCAGGGAGCCACAGAAAGAGCCAGCCCCTTCCAAACACTGCTGCTGCCACCAAAGGGATGTGAATCCCTTGTCACCCCTGGGGAGTCCCATCTGCTCTGGAGGAACACAGGGACTGCTACTCTGGGACATGCTGGTGTGTCCCTCTGAGTGCCAGCTCCTTGCTGTCCTGACTCCCAAACTGGACACGCAGCTCCAGGGACAGGAAGACCTCCCCTCTTCTTCTCCACCTGTGGGCTTTCGAAGCTCCTCTCGGAGCACAGCCCTGTATCCCATCTTTACCCCAAAACTACCCCGCCCTGCTCCCAGCCCCATGAAAATCCCAGTTCTGCAGGTAGGTGTACGTAATGTGTATGCCCTGGTAGAGCGAAAAGGCCTGGAAGGAAATACTCCAAGCGTGTGCAAGTAAATATTTCCTGAATTGTTTGGAAGAAATATCGCTGGTCTTTATTATTACTTAAGAAAAAAAATGTATAAAGCTCAGCTAAATTCCTCTGGCTGCCACTATACCCCCAAATTTCTCTACCTCCTAACGCATGCTCACCTTCCCCTTTTCTCCAGGGGGACCTGGAAAGTATGGGGTTTTAGAAGCAAAGGGATGAGAGACAGGCAGGCAAGGAGAAGGAGCAGTCATGGTAACAGTCCCTATGCAAAAGTCCTCCAACCCTCATAGAACACAGGCTGGAACCTACTCTACCTGACCCCCAGCCTAGCAAAGCTCTGAGCTGGCGCTTGTGTGCAGCCAATTCCTACACACATACTTTCTTCGCCCACAAAACCCTCTAAAGGATGCGGCTCAGACAGGGGAGCGTCTGACCCACAGGCACGCACAGCACTCTGGGAGAGATGCAGGAGGGCGGTGATGTGGAACCAGCCCAGGAACTGGGGCGGCCCTGGGGTTAGGGGTGGGTAGGACGTGGCCGGGGAAGCCAGTGAGTAGCTCTTCTTCCTTCTTTGGCCTAATTCAGGCCCATCCTGCTCATCTAGGCTGGGAGTATCTGCCCCTGAAGTCACACCCGTCAGCCAAGCCACCAGCCAAGCTGCCACCCACGCCTTCCTGCTCTGCAGGGGGTGAAAATGGGCACGGTCCAGGAAGCGCTGCCTTGCTCAGGGGGTGGGGAAATAGCTCCAGATTTTCACTGCTTCTCAGAAATGCAGCCTCTCTTCCCTTTCTTTCTCTATCCTTGGGCTGGGGACTCATTGGCCCCTGATATTCTGGGGGTGAAGGATGAGACCACATCTCCCACACTCAAAACTAATCCTGATTCAGAGCAATCGCCCTAAGTCTTGAATCTCAGTGGCCCTGCTGGTACCTCTTCCTTGTCCTTCCAACCTGCTTCATGCATCCCTCACCTCCTCCAGCCTCATACACTGACCTCCGCCTGCCTCCTGTCCCCGGAGGGTAGCAGCAGGGAAGAAAGTCAGAGCCAGGGAGAGATGGTGTCAGGACATTAAGATTTAAATTCCCAGATACAAGCTCTAGGCATGAAGCTGTGGGAGAACCTGGAAAATTGGACTGAAGCTGACCTTTCTGGGTCAGATCAGATTACAGTAACCCCAGCCTTCACCCGAATGAGGCTTTCCCCAGAGGCATCTTCTAGATGTCCAAGCAGCAGGGCCTCAGGGCAACACCTGGATGTACAAGGCTGTACAAAGAGTGAGAAAAGCAAACGGGTCACTGACAGCAATCAAGGGGCAGGGATAGGAAAAGCAGATGGGGTGGCCAAGTGAGACCAGATCCAAGTGTCCTGCCCAGGAATGCCAGTGGCCATGGGGGCAGACCAGCCACGAGAGGAATGCTCCTTTCCCGCGCCACTGCCCCACAGCCATGCTTGCTACCCACTTTCCTAGTAGTTGTAACAAACTCCTCCGTACTCGGGGCAGAGAAGCCAGAGGAGGATATATTTGGGGGGGAGAGGAGGTGTCTGTTTTCCATAAGATCCTTCGCAAGTTAGTAAAAAGTTAAAATTAGGATCTGAGAGTCCCACCTATCTTAACCTAGCTGGGGATTCCAGCGAAGACTGGAGTGCTACTTCCCGGCACACACAGGGCTTGCAGAAAAAGGGAGTGAGACACCCCATGACCAAACTGGGGGAAGGGCACAAGCATCTGCAGCGAGGACGCTCCCATGTCCCAGCCCCCTTCGGAAGCCAACACTGGGCCCAAACGCCGCAAGAACTTTTGGCCATGGTGGGGGACGACAGAGCAGGTCGTGGTCCATTTGTCCTTCTCCTACTTTTGGCTCGTCCACCAGCCCCTTATTTCACCGAGGTGGTGGCTGCCGTGCTCGCTGAATGGAGTGGAGGGCGGATAGGAGGAGACAGAGATGGGCCTTTTGGGAAGAGACTGGGTCTTCTGTAGCAGTGGGGAAAGACGGGGGCCCTGGACCCAGGGGACAGCTGAACCCGGCCAACACAGACTTCTGTGCAGTTGTTCTGAGACACTGGGGGACACACTCCAGCCAACTCCTCCAGATGGCCCAGCGTGACAGGCATTTCCAGACTCTGTCTCACTGAAGGCCATCTGAGCTTGTGAAGGGGGACTGCAGGTGGGAATCCTTAGAACTTGTTCTGCTCTTCCTAAATCTGAGACCATCAGGCACCCCCTTCCCTACCACGGATGTGGAATAAGAATCTCCCTGGTCGTTCTACACTCACCCCCTCCTGCGATCTCACCACAGCCGCCAGCAGGGCCTGCTCCAGCCCAGCTGCAGCAGGGAGGCTGGGGGAGGAGGCCAAGGACAAACCAGCCATTGTCATCCACACCAACTGGCCCCTGGCTGTGGGGTGAGCCTAGATGCCCTAGGTGTGACAGCAAGGGCAGTGCCAAAGCTTCCCCACCTAGGCTGCTCCGCATCTCGGGCTCCTGGGTGTGGCGTGGAGGTGGGGCAAGGCATCAGAGGGCCTTTTCAGCTCTGGAATCTGAGTGTGTGGGGGAATACAGGCACATGTGTGTATGTGTGGGTCCCTTCCTCCCCCCTCTAAGAACTTTTGTTCTCCAATGGGCGTGGTGGTTCATGCCTATAATCCTAGCACTCTGGGAGGTTGAGGCAGGAGGATTGCTTGAGGTTAGGAGTTTGAGAGCAGCCTGAACAAGAGCGAGACCCTGTCTCTATTAAAAATAGAAAAAATTAGCTGGGAGTAGTAGCACATGCCTGTAGTCCCAGCCACTCGGGAGGCTGAGGCGAGAGGACCGCTTGAGCCCAGGAGTTTGAGGTTGCTGTGAGCTAGGCTGATGCCACGGCACTCTAGCCTGGGCAACAGAGTGAGACTGTCTCTAAAAAAAAACACTTTTGTTCTTGCTTACATCAGAAGGTAACTGCAATTATTCCAGATTCCAGTCCACCCTGCTCTCCTGGGGAAGACAAAGAGAACAGGCTCCTCCCAGAGTCTTTAACCAACTTGTGTACCACCAGGGCCATAGTGAAGGCCATAGAGGTAAGTGGTACAGGCTCTCGGGTCAGATGAACAGGGACAAGTTACCTAATCTCTCTAAGGCACAGGTTCCCTATCTATTAAGTGGAAACAATTATGGTTCCTATCTCATAGGCCTACAGAAGAGCCTCCAAAATGCTTCCCCACTACCATTATTATTATCTAGAAAATAAGACAATTTTCTCCCAATTCACCAGTGGATCTTGGTTTGGCAACCCTTTGTAGGTACCAAACCAGAACTTAAAAACTCTAAGAATGAACCAGGACCACAGGAAAGGGACAGAGGAGGCAAGGAAACTGCTACCTGTCCCATTTCTTCCCCTCCCCCTCGCCCATTCACTGCTCTAGTGGGAGGGACAGCCACTAGGGGAAGGAACCCAAAGCTCTGGGCTGGCTTCCTAACCTCCATGTAGGAACAATCTTCAAGGTAACAGGTTTGGGGGGGTGGGGAGGCAGTGCAAGGCACTTTGGCACAACACAGACACCATTCTCATTAGCAACCAAAGGTTCTCCTGAAGGGCTCAAGTCAAAGTGGTCTAGGTGGACATTACAGAAGCAACCATTGAGACCCACCAACCTTCGGTCCCTTGGGACACAAGCGTGGTGAGACCTACCAGCAGGACTCTACATCACTACATGCATGGTTTGTAGGGCTGGCTTGGCATAGGGAAAGTAATGCTGAGCTTCATGTCCTTCTGGGAGATGTCATGGTCAGGGAACACTAGCAGGTCCCAAAGGGCAAAGGCCAAATCTCCTCCTGCCTTGGTATTTCTCTGAGTACCTAGGACAGAGGCCAGCACTCAGCAGGAATTTGATACGCACTGCTGATCAACTTAGATAAATCCAGTGCCTTCAAAAAGCTCTGTGTGCCATACTGTGCTTCAAGAACTTTACCTAGAAACAAAACTTTATCTCCTGGACCTGGAGGTTCTGCATAAGCCATAACACACAATGAGCTAACACAGCACATCTCTGGCTCTTATCTTCCAGGTCTTGCTGACTCTTATCCTTCATTCTACCCAGTAGCCTCATAATGAACCATCTTTGGCCCGGGCACGGTGGCTCATGCCTGTAATCCTAGCACTGTGGGAGGCCGAGGCGGGAGGATTGCTCAAGGTCAGGAGTTCAAAACCAGCCTGAGCAAGAGCGAGACCCTGTCTCTACTATAAATAGAAAGAAATTAACTGGCCAACTGATATATCTAGAAAAAATTAGCCAGGCATGGTGGCGCATGCCTGTAGTCCTAGCTACTCGGGAGGCTGAGGCAGCAGGATTGCTTGAGCCCAGGAGTTGGAGATTGCTGTGAGCTAGGCTGACGCCACGGCACTCGCTCTAACCTGGGCAACAAAGCGAGACTCTGTCTCAAAAAAAAAAAAAAAAGAACCATCTTTGGCAGGGTGAGGTGGCTCACATCTGTAATCCCAGCACTTTGGGAGGCCAAGGCAGGAGGATTGCTTGAGCTCAAGAGTTGGAGACCAGCCTAAGCAACACAGCAAGACCCCATCTCCACAAAAAATAAATAAACAAATACAATAGAAAAATAAAGAGCCCTCTTTGCTCAGGGCAAGTTCATGAAACACAGGTGAGGGGCGAAGAGAAGAGACAGTTCTGCCCAGACCTGGTTACATTTTGTCCCCATTTATGGCACATAATTAGTACTTTAGGTTTTGTTACGCCAACTCCCCAAATCATGCATCAGATAGCATGTGCCCACCGCTATTCTGCAAGGAGACTGTGCCAAGGTTATAGGAAGATAAGCAACACAAAATGCCTTAAAGAGCCTTCCCACTTAATATGAGACCCTTTTGGCAGCTGAACAAATTCCTGCCCAGCAGGGGGATGGAGGAGAGGCTTGAAACTGAGGTTTCTACTATGGCTATCCTTGAAACCCCAAGTGAAGGGGGGAAAAAAGGCATAAAGAAGAGACCCGTTTAAATGTCTCCTACTGAGCTGGGCTTGGTAGGAATGCCCAGCAGGAATAGCAAGCAACAACCCTGCTCCATCTCTCCTCTTCCAAGCCCAAGTTCTGGAACCACCTCTGTTTCTGTTAAGCAACACTGCCCTTACTGCCTCCCCGGGGCTATTCAGCTTCCTCAAGGTTTCTGTAGAAAGTAACTAAACCAAGAAGAAACCGAGGACATGACCCAAAGGGAAACAGTATTCGAGGAAGCAGCAGCTGCTTCAGCAGGGAGGTGGAGAGGAAGTTCTAAGAGTCGCAGTTTCCCAGGAGGCACAGGTGGCTCTGGGCTCACAGTCAAGAGCTGCGTTACTCAGGTCCTACCTGCACGATGTCCAGCACCATGCCAGCGGCCACAGTCCCAAAGCCTGCCAGGAGGAAGGGAAACAGCACTTGCAGCCCGATGGAGAAGGAGGTCTCCTTGAGCGGGGAGGGTGGTGTGGGGCCGTGGTCTGTGCTGACGTCGTCACTTTCGTTGCTCTGGCTCCCGTTCTCCAGCAGGGCGTCCTCCTCCCGAACCCCCTTGGCGTTGGCCCGAGACTCAATCCCCACCTCTACCCCAGCCCCATCAGGCCCCAGGAACTCTGAGGTCCCGGCCAAGGGCTCTCGCCCGGGGCCATCGGAAGAGCAAGGAGAGGCAGTAGGGCCAGTCCCGTTCAGCTGGTGGACGTCCTTCGGCTCCGACTTAGAGGACATGACAGGCAGGGAGGAGGGGAAGGGAGAACTTTCCTCTCTGTTTTTCCTTTCTCTCTCCCTCTCTAACTTGGGAAAGAACTTAGTCTTGGGGTGAACCCAGGCTTGGGTGCCGCGGGACCTCTTCCCACGGCTCTCCGCTCCCACCGGGCACTGCAAAAACTGATCCACCAACAGGCAGCCCCATCAAGCACTGAAGCTGCGAGCTGGAGGGAAACAAGAAACTCCTCACCAGACTCAGCAGCCAGCCACTAGGGGTGCAGACGCCTGACTCCAACCGACCAGCTCTGTGCTTGGGGGAAACGTGTCTGGCTCTTATCTTCTTTGGTTCTCAGCAGCAGGCTCCTCAGAGCAGGGGGCATCCAGAGTAGAAGAGCCCAACCAAAGTCTGGGGTGCCCTCTCTGAAGAGGCCCCTCTTTCGTCAAAAGTAGCCTGAGTTCAATCTTTCAGAACAAGGCCTCGGCCTGGGGCTGTGGCTCTCTCCTGCTCCTTCTGCTGGGCTCCTCCAGCTTCCCACGGCTCCTCGGGCTCTGATGGTCCCAGGGCAGTGTCTGCAGCCTCTCCCCTCTCTTCCAGAGATTTCCTCCCTTCCTGAGCAGACCTTGTACCTCCCCAAGTCCCTGGTCTTTAAAGTCACGAGAATCTGTGTGGAACACCTTATGCGGGAAGAAGAAAGAAAAGAAAAAAGAGAATGTTATGATATAGCAAAGGACAGCTCATACTGGGAGAATTCTCCCCTAAGGCAGTTATGAGCTTGTTACATAGAGTGTTTGCTAGTTGCTTCCTTTTTTCCAGTAAAATGACTCAATCCTACACTGCTACATCTGGAGGTCCAACAGGTTGGGAATCTCGCCATCTTCCCATCCAGCAAACTACCACCCACAGGGATCACCATCATGGTCTGAGGCAATGAGAGGTGACCAGACTGGAATTGGGAAGATGCTGGGGAGGAGACTGTGGCACTGTTTTCTCAGCAACCTGGGCTGGGTAGAGTTGTCATCAGGGAGATCCCTTCTTGAATGTCCATTAAGAACCCAAGATTATTTCAGTGTGGTCTCTCAGAGGGGTCAGTTATAAATCCAGTTGCAAACTCCCTGCCACACAGCCACCCACCCCACTGTAGAAGGTCATTATTTATCGTCACAAGACAGCCACAGCAAGACAGCCATCTACGGCAAATAAACAGAAGAACCTGATCAGTAAGTGGAGGCCCCCAGACCTCCAAACACTTAGCCTCGGAGAAAAAAAAACAAAAACAAAAACAAAAGTAGGAGGACTCCCTGGGTAAAGGGGCAAGTCTGCCAGACCAAGGCCAAGAGCCAGAGGCCTACCCACTCCTGCCCTTGAGAGTCAACAGTGTTACAAAAAGCTCAGATGCTGACTCTGACTCAGATCCAGGCCTCTGTCTCTACTTCTCTGGCCCTGTTCTTGGCCCTTCGAGCTTGTCAGATAGGACAAGGGAATTATCTCAGTTTGAAGGGGCAGAAGATAAAACTATTGGTTATTACCCACACATTTCAGTTCCCTAGGCTCCTCCTGTTCCCCAGGGTTACTGAGAGTTGGATCTAGTAGAATTCTTTAAAACAAAAAGTAACAATAAAAAAACCCTCAAGAAACCCAAACCGAGCGAGCGCCATATGCCAATACGCACTTGCTCCCAAATGAATCTTTTGAGTTGTAATGGCTCCACTTTTCTTTGCCTGAGGAATCCCCAGGTTTCCTAATTCCTAATGGAAGTCCATCTCACCAGAACAGCTCTTACGAGTAAAAACTAAATTTAAGGGGAGTTTCCCCAGGTAAAAAGAACAGGTCCTTAAGTATTCCAAACACACACGGTTAGTCAGCCCCAGTGTGGGAGAGGCTGGATCAAACCCCAGCAACTGGCCCATGGGAATGGTTCCCTTTCTATCCACTCAGTCACCCACCAGGACTCCCTTTTCCAGTCTCCTTAAACACAGACAGCACTGTGGTTCTTTCAAAGACTCTCGGCAGAGATGCAGGAGGAAACCTCTGAGTCCACCGCCCCTATGCCAGAAAAGTTTCCGAGTCCACTAAAATGTGACACCCCCACCTCCCTCCAGCCTTCCCAGCAGGCCACTCGACCTCAAAGGGGGCTCGCAGGAAGGGAAGCCAGGCCCTCACTCACTCCCCAGTAAAGAGACTTCAGACGGGCCTACGGCCCTGGGATGAAAGAAGCAAAAAGTGAACCAGGGCGCCCTATCTCCTCCTCCCAGTCGGGGACAAAAAAAGATCCGTTTGAGTATCCCCAACCCCAGGGAGGGGGAGAAGTAGCTGGGTGGCCGCCCCGCGTCTCTCCACCACTCAGACTCAGCAAATGCGCTGCGCGCCAGGACTCCCGCCCTCCGCCACCCAGCCCCCCAGCCCCAACAGGACTGACCTGCCCCTCGCTTGGGAGGAAGGGGGGCGCCTGGCGAGTGGCAGCAGGGGCCCGTGGTCTCGGGGGCTGCAGGGTACCCCCTCTTCTCATCACTCCTCCTCAGCAGTCCTCCTCGGCCCCGGCGTGCCCCCCCACACCCCCAGCCAAGGCTAGCGTCCAGCCGCGACACCCGGCTCGCTACATCTCGCCTCTGCGTTACAGCGAGGCCGCCGCTCCGCTTCCACGAGGGGGGAGGTGGCCGGGGAGGGCAGGATATACCGCCTCGGGCCGGGCGGCGGTGACCCGGCCTGGAGGCACCCGGACGGGGGACTAGAGGGCCGAGCTCACTCGCCCCCAATCGCTTCTTGCCCGCGGACTTGGGCCCGACTGGTTGGCTGCTGGTGGCAAACGTGATCTGGGGCAGACTGGGTGGCACCCCCCCTCCATCAAAAATAGACTCTCGGATGGACACCTGCGGCAGCCAATCAGGGCCTGGGGAGGGGGCGGCGTCAGCCCCGGCCCGGCCCCTTTCCTTCGCTTCGTGCCCGGGGGCGGGGCGCCGGGGAAACGCCGTGCGCGGGGTGACGGGAACTGGAGCCGGCCCTGCGCCGCGCGGCGCGCGGGTCCCAGCGCCCATCCGCCCGCGGTTCCCGCCGCCGGCGTTCGCTGCGCAGGGCCGCCGCCCTAGGCCCGCGCCGGCGCTCCCGGAGCCTCTGAAGGGCGTGTGCGCCTGTGCGCGTCCACTCCGGCCTCGTGAGTGCGGCCGCCGAGCCGCCGGCCTTCGAGGGGCCCGGCAGGCGTCCCTGCGTGTGTGGAGCCGGGCAGCCGTCCCGCGCTCCTTCCCCGCGCGCAGTTCCCAGACGGAACCGCCCCCACCTTGTTCTCGGATGCGGCGCCTGTCCCGCCGGCCACTGGCCGTCACCTCGCGCTGCCACCGGATTCCGCGTTCCTCTCAGCAAATGGCTCGGCCCTGACGGCTCCCGCCTTAATAAAGTCCCGGCCTTGAAAGGGGTGGGGATGGCCCGGCGGGCGGGAGGAGAGGTCAGGCTCACGGCCGGGGTCTCACGTGCATCACCTGAGGTCGGGGCGGAGGGGAGCCCCGCTTCCTTTGACCCACAGAGCCTGGTGGCAGCATGGGGTGAGATGTCTCTGTCCCAAGCTAAACGAAATCCAACTTTCCCTGACGCACCTTATGGAATCAAAGAGAGGAGTTCCCATGCTAGCCCTTTGCCACTTCCTCCCTGGGGTATCTCCACCTCTCTAACGCACACGCAGCACCAGGTCTCTTCGGGATGTTTTTGTGCAGGGGGGTGTGACCTTCCCCATAAAGGAACCCCCACCCCCAGGTTTTCCTCTCTTGTCGGTTGAACCTGTGACCAGTTGTTCCTTCCTGCCCTTTTCCTCCCGGAAAGTGGCTCAGGGGGCATTCAAGCATGACTGCAGACCCCTGAAGGGGTTTGGGGCAGAGATGTGCCCGGGGAGAGGACACGGTGCTGGGTATGAAGTTTGCAGCACGTGCACGCAACAGCACACACAGCAACCCGAGTAGGACATTTCTTTGGACAAGGATGACAAATGCAGATAAACAACCCATCCCCTCGCACCTTCTATTCTCTAGAATATTCTAGAAATAGTGTCTAGTATCCCTAGAATTATTCCAGCTCAGCTGCTGGGGCATTTGCATCAAAGGGCCGGCGGACTCACAGGACCTCTAGTATAGTAAATGTAAGTGTCTCAGAACCCCAATTTTGACTTTAAGTACTGGGTTTGGCTGTTTGGAAATAGAGGTAGCTGTCAGACTGGGAAACACTAGGCCTCATTCAGAAAGATCAGGTTTGTGAAATAGGAGGTGTGGGACTGGGCTGGGAATTAGGGTTTGATGTATTTGGAGACAACCTTAGCCAGGGGCTGCAGACAACTTCTGCCCTCCTCCACTCGGCAGTTTCTTCCCCCCTGCAACCCCATTTAATCTTGCTGCAGCTCAGCTACTTACGCATAATATTTTGATCTCTTTCCTATTTATTCCCTTCCCACCTTCCATTTTTTTTGCCCATCTGAAACCAGTTCCGTTCTTTTGTGGGTATTTTTTTTTAACTGAAGTATACTACACATTTGGGAAAGTGCATAAAACCTAATTGTAGAGGCCAACACATTACGACATAGTGAATATATCTGTGTAACCACTATCCAGGTAAAGGATGAGATCATTATTGGCACCCCAGAAGCCCTCCTTCTATCCCCTTCTAGTCACTACCCCACCTTTCTTCCCCACGGTAACCCCTATCTAACACTATAGTTTTACCTACTTTTGAACTTTATAGAAATGGAACCATTTGGTAGGTATTATTTTGTGTCTATTTATGAAACTCACCTATACCGTTGTGTGGAATTATGGTAGCAGTAGCTCATTCATTTTCATTGTTGTACAGTATGCCATTTAATGATTATACCACAATTTATCTATTCTGTTGATGGACATTCGGGTTGCTCCCAGTTTGGGATTATTATGAATAAGGTTGCTGTAACATTTTTGCTCATGTCCTTTGGTACACTTATGTTTATATGTCTGTTGGACATATGCCTAAGGACAGAATTACTGGGACATAGGGTAGGCATATATTTAGCTTTTGAAAATGCTACTGAACAATTTTCCAATGTGCTCATGTTAATTTACACTCCTGCCAACAGTGTCTTAGAAGTCCAGTTGCTCTGCATTCTCATTAACAGTTGGTATTGTCAATCTAAAAAGATTAAAAAATTTTAGTCCTTCTGGTGGGCATAGGGGTATTATAGTTTAAATTTGTTTCACCCTGATAACCGATGAGGTTGACCATCTTTCCATACATTTATTTGCCATTGTGATGTCTGTTCAAGTGTTGTGTCCATTTTCTATTAGGCTTTCTATCTTACTGCTTTGTAGTTCTTTATATATTTCAGATATGAATCTTTTGTTGGTTACAGGGATTGCAAATATTTCTGTAAGTATGTAAGTGCAGAAGACCCTGGTTTTAGGGTCTTCTGAAGTGTCAGGACCACTGGCACACGACTATAATTTCTCTATCTTTTTTGATCTGTACTGTATCCTCGGCTCCTAGCACATAGTAGGTACCCAATAAATATGTTGAATGAATGCTGGATGAGATGGAAGAGACTCATCTGGGTAGTTTGCCCTATGTTGTACTGATCCCTAGAGTCAAACACCAAGAGGGCCTGGGGGAAGCAGATTTCCTTCCAGCCCAGGCAGCTGTGACCTTGGGAAGGGGAAGACATCCCAGCCCTTCTCTACCGAAGGAGCAGAAATAGCTACAGTCTGTGAATCTGGGAGCACAGATGTAGGGAGCGGAGGTCACAGATGAAAAGACAGGAACTAGCAGCAGGTAGCAAGCCAGCCAGATACTCCAGGAGAGACTCAGTTGGGGGTGTTAAGAAGAGAGTGAGGGTCTCTGAGCATCATGTGGTCCTTTGTATGACAGGAACCTCCAAAGATCATGTGGGCCCTCTTCCTGCCTCAAGACATGCCTACTCTCAAAGCTCGTTAGCTGAAAGAACTTTTCTGTACTTAGAGACATGTTTCTCTCTCCAAAGGAGGTCCCCTGAGTCTTTGGTTGCAGGGGCTCGTTCCTATTCCCCATTGGGGAACTCTTCAACTTCCTCATGGTCTGGCTTCAACTTCCTCACGGTCTGTAACGTCCACCCACATATGGGAGACCATTAAGTCATTACCAGCCTCTTCTCCACGAAGTCTTTTTAGAGGTGGTTGCATCCTATACACCTTTCTCTTGCTGTCTTTCTCGCCAGAATGTTCTCCTTCTCCTCCTTCAGGGGTAGTGGAGACCAGGTCTGGTCAGAGGTCTCAGACTGATGCCCGTTATTGTGTATTGTGGGAGAGAGAGATTCCCCCCTTACAACAACACTGTAACAGACTCATAGCATCTCTGCCCCAGGTTCTCCAGAAGGCAATTTGGTAGTAGCTCCAAAAATTTCTATGTAGGATGAGCTTGGGGCATCAGTCTAGTCGGAGAGAGGCTGGATGACTTGCCATGAAATGGCATTTGTATAGCAAGCACAGTGTTTTCTCTTAGAATATGAGTTTATGGGGCGGGGGGGGGGGACAGAGGGTTTCGGGAAAGGAGAGTTGTTCATCATGACCAGGGGCCTTTGGAGGAGCCTGTGAGGGAAGAGCCGCTATGGGGCATGGGCAGCCTTCTTCCATCTTGCTTGACACTTGTCCTAATATATGGTTTATATAGCCTCTATCCTGAGGTCCTCTGTAGGGGACTAACATATATTTTCCTAGTTTAAGAATTAAAGTTAGTGAGTAATGTACTGTGTTCTGCCCAGAGTGTTTGAAAGTAATGTGTTCTGGACAGGCTCCCTGTGATAAACAAAGGTGTTGTTGCCTAGAGGCATAACAAAGGACCTGAGCTGCAAGTAGCAAGAGTGGCCCCACCCCAGGGCATTGGGGGTCTGGAGGCTACAAGATAAACACCCCATAAGATGGCTGGTTAGTCAATGACGGGTAAGACCCCTCAAGGGAGGGGCGACCTAAGCCAGGCACAGCCGCTGGGGTTCAGCCGAAGATCTTAGGGGGTCACCCTAAGAGAAGCTGGGGATGAGAAATGCCCCCTGTGGCTCACCTTGCCCATCCTTGCTAATTTCGGCCCGTGATCTATGCCTAGTGCCTAGAGCAACCACCTTGAAATTCTGAGTCAGGGGATATCTGCTTCCCTAAGGCTACGCATTCTGGAATTTATGGTTATCGCTGCCATGTACAAGGAACTAACTTTTAATTTTTTAAAGTATAAAAATAAAACTGACTCAGTGTATTATTACTCGAGTCAACCATCTGTCTGTGTGTCCGCGTTTTTGTGTTCTGCATTTGTGTTTTATGTTCTGTGTTCATCCTCCATCCTGTAAATGGGCCGCAACAGTCCTCTGAACCCCATGGCCTTCCTTCAGGAACAGCTGCTGTCTACCAATGGCTTCTCCATGGACTACCTGGATACTCATTTTCCAGCATCATAAAATTCCAGAGTCCCGTAGATCCTGGACCGGCTAATTGCCATGACATAGTCACAAGACTAGCCTGACCTAGCTGGAAACTTTCCTGTCTTTTGTTCTGTTGGGGGAGGGGGCCCCTCCCATTTTTCCCCTTGCTGTCACCCCTCCCCTGCTATCTCCCTCCCAGAGGTCAACTTCTTTCCTGCTGCCCAGAGCTGAGGTGACATCCCCTTCCGGCTTCCTTCAGTTCTAGGAGGATGTAGTGATGGGGGTGGGATAGGGAAGTGTGGCCACCTGTGCTCAGAGCTGTCACCATGCCTTTTGCTTCTCTATAGCTGAGCTAGCTCCCTTTTCCAAAAGCCCACTGGACACCCACCTTGGGCTTCCTCTAGGCAGGATGATTCCAGGTATTCTGGAGCTGCAGTTCTG